GTTTCACAATTGCTCTTTAGATCTAGCACTAAAAGGTCTATGCTCTATGAAAGAAATAAGTGAAGATTTGGACTTCATTTAAATTAAAATTTTCTGCTCTATGAAAGACACCGTCAAATGAATGAGATGACAACCCACAGATTCCAAGAAAATATTTAAAAAAGATATATCTGATATAAGAATGTTTTCCAAAATATACAAAGTCCTATCAAAACTCAGTAACAAAATACGAACCAGATTTCTAAAATGACAGACCAGAAAAAACATCTCATCATGGAAGATGCTAAGATGGGATATAAGCATATTAAAAGAGATGTAACATTAAATCTCATTAGGAAATGGTAAAGTGATGTAACGAGATCCATGTACACACCTACCAAAATGACCAAAATAATGACACCCCCAAATTCTGGCGTGGATGTGAAGTAACAGACACTGTAATTCACTGTTTACGAAAATTCAGGCCGGGCACAGTGGCTCACGCCTATAATCCCAACACTTTGGGAGGCTGAGGCGGGTGGATCACAAGGTCAAGAGATCGAGATGATCCTGGTCAACTAGGTGAAACCCCGTCTCTACTAAAGATACAAAAATTAGCTGGGCATGGTGGCACGCGCCTGTAATCCCAGCTACTCAGGAGGCTGAGGCAGGAGAATTGCTTGAACCCAGGAGGTGGAGGTTGCGGTGAGCCGAGATGGTGCCATTGCACTCCAGTCTGGGTAACAACAGCGAAACTTTGTCTCAAAAAAAAAAAAGAAGAGAAAAGAAAAAAAAAAAAAAGAAAATTCAAAATAGTACAGACACTTTGGAAGACAGTTTGGCAGCTTCTTCCAAAACTACACTTACTTACCATCTGATCTAGTAACTGCAGTTCTTGCTATATTTACCCAAATGAGTTGCAACTATGTCCGCACAAAAACCTGCACCCAAATGTTTACAGCAGGTTGGCCCATGCTTCCCAGATCCTGAAAGCAGCCAAGATATCCTGCAGCATGTGAATGGATAAAGTGTGGTTTATACAGACAATGGAACATTATTCAGCAATAAAAAGAAATGCACCGTCAAGCCGAATCAGACACAGATGATCCTTAAATGCATACGGCTAAGTGAAACAAGCCAATCTGAGAAGGCTACATATTGTGTAATTCCAATTACATAAAATTTTGAAAAAGGCAAAATTATGTAGACACCCAAAAGATCAGTGATTTCGAGGGGTAAGAGAAAAAGAAGAATAAGTGGAGCATAGAGAATTTTAAGATCTGTGAAAGTACTGTATATGCTAGTATAATGCTGAATACATGTCAGTAGACATCAAACAATACTTAGGGTAAACCCTAATGTAAACTATGGGCTTGGCTGATAACGATGTATCAGTATACATTCATCAACTGTAACTGACATACCATTCCGGTGTGGGTAGAAAGGAGACTGTATATGTGAGGGTGGGGAGAATAGGGTAAATTGCCATACCTTCCGACGAATTTTGCTGGGAACATAAATACTCCTAAAATGTTTATTTTAAAAAAGGAAAAGAACAATGCAAAAAAACTATTACTCATGGCACAGCAGGCAGCATGAACACTCTGATTACACCAGTTTTACTTGCTTCCTTTTCGTCACAATTCCAGCAGGAATGATCCAGAGACGATCTGGTGAATGCTGCACATTCAGTAGGTTTGCATCACAGCTGAGGAACATTAAGTGTTTAAAAATTCAATATTTTAAAGGGAACTACTGGCAAATCTGCCATACCATTTGCCCAAGAGGGAGACATTTATTTCCATATATGGGAAACGGGTCTGTTCACTGCCTGTTTTTTTGGAATATATTGCTATATTCCAAAAAAATGTTTAAATAAAAATGATTTTTTTTTTTTTGAGACAGAGTTTCACTCTTGTTACCTAGGCTGGAGTGCAATGGCGCGATCTCGGCTCACCGCAACCTCCGCCTCCTGGGTTCAGGCAATTCTCCTGCCTCAGCCTCCTGAGTAGCTGGGATTATAGGCGCGCGCCACCATGCCCAGCTAATTTTTTGTGTTTTTAGTAGAGACAGGGTTTCATCATGTTGACCAGGATGTTCTTGATCTCTTGACCTCATGATCCACCCGCCTCGGCCTCCCAAAGTGCTGGGATTACAGGCTTGAGCCACTGCGCCCAGCTAAATAAAAATGATTTTTAGTTTTAATACAAACAACAAAATTGGCAAAACCAAACCAAAACAGAACCAAAAAAAAAAAAAAAAGACATTATATGAGCGATCATTTCCAAACACAACAGCATTTATTAATGAATCTAAAAAATAAGTTTTAGTATTTTTATTTGCTTTCCCCCCAGATTTGACTACATGGTTAGTTTTAGAAGCTTGAGTTCCTAAGATCACTCCACAGCTACACTGGCTCCTACAATGTGACTGGGTGAGGTTAAGGTCCCACTCCCATTAGAGAAAGATCTTTGGGGATTCTGAACAATCAGATCCTTAGAAACTTTAAAAACAGAACAAAACAGCTTTCATTAGAATCCTTCTAACATGGAAAAAATACAATCACTGTACCTTAAAACACAAGCCAATCTGGGTACTCTTCAGGTTTTCTAAGTTCTCCACCTGAACTAGGCCACCATCTCTTCTGGCAACCCAGCCTATAGCCACTGCCATCTGCCTAACTAGCAGCCTCCCAAGGTGCACTAAAACTGGAATTAACAAAACCAAAGTTAACATGTTTTTGACCTTTCTTCCTAGAGTAGGAAAGGTCAGGAGGTTTTGCCTCCAGCTTGCCTTCACACTCACTATTAGTGGAAGGGCTGTGAAATCTACCCGTCGCACACCTGTGTTCAGTGTTTGAGTGTACTTATCCGTCACCACTCAAGGAAACAGAGTAAATTAACAAGTCACTCTGGACCAAGCCCCTCAAAACAGAGGGAAATTTGGTGAACCAAGGTCATTCACTGCCGGTGGCAAGAACCTCAGTTCACTTAAGTCCTTTCCTGAAAAACCACATTAATCTCCTGATTCAAGAGGCACCTCTGGCCAGCACAGAGCAAGAAGGAAAGCATAACTTCAGGGTGGGGAAATGCACACGGAATTTAGAAGTTGCGGTTTAGTCTACGGCAAAAGATGGCAGCATCGCTAATATTCAGAGCTGGAAAGAGCGTTGGCTGGACCACATTCCTGGAGCATCTTTACTAATGCAGCTTGACAGCAGTTGCCCAGATGTCGTTGCTGGGGAGCAGGGCAAGGACCCATCCTTGGGGAACGAAGCTGCCTCTGGGATGATCGGATGGCAGCAGGCACTGATCCCAATCATGCTGATCTAGATGAGCGCCGACGGGGACTGCTCGGCTTGGAGGTAACACAGTCAGAAAGGCTCCAAGAGGTGAGCACGGGGGAGCTCGTCTGGATCCCCAAACAACTTGGACTCCCATTTCACGTTTCTGAAGTAAAATTTTCTTTTTCCTTTCTTTCTTTTTGAATTCTCTTTTCCTCTCTTCCTCTTGTTCTCCTTCCAGCATAACTCGGAGGGCTCTCTCTTCAGCTTCATATAGTTCAGAGCGCTTTTTCATGAGTATTTTTCAGTCGCTCAAGAGTCTCATCTGCTGAGGGGGGAGGAAAGACCCCTTTCCTCGCTGCAGCCTTTCCTCAGTTTCCTCAACTTCCCGAAAGCCCGAAATATCTGCCTGTTTTTCCCTCACTCAGTCAGCAGGCCATCGGCAGCTCCTTTGAGTTCCTGCCCCCGGTTCTTCCAGTCCACCTCCTGCACACACTTGACCCACCAGCGGTCATTGTCCTGCTCGCATTCCACCGCCCCCGCGGCCTCGCGTTCCTGTGCCCTCCCCAGCCTCCTCCGCGCCTTGCCCACAGGGCAGCCTGGGTCAACGGCTGTAGCGGCTCAGCCAGTTCCGCACGCACCGGCGCGGCCTGGGAACCCGCTATCGGCTTCGGCCTCGCACAGGGCCTGGGTCAGGCCGCGCAGCAGCCGCACCACGAGCGGAGCCCCGCGCACCCACGCCAGCACTTCGCCAAGGCCGGGCCGGGCGTGCATGCGCTGCGGCACTGGCCGGCCAGTCCCAAACACCCCTTCTAGCCACTGCCGGTCGCGCAGGCGCTGGGGGGCCGTATCCGCGAGCACATCAGTCTGCAGCGGCGGCGCCTCAGGCCAGCGCAGGCTCCAAGGCGGCACTGGACCGGAAGTCAGCAGCGGACCGGAAATCGGCAGCCGCGGCTGCTGGCAGGCGTAGGTTCCGGGAAGGACTGGCACAGGGGCGGCGGCGGTGGTGGCATCGGATAGAAGACGTCAGTGCCGCCGCCGCCACGAGAGGCTTCTGCGGAGACTTGGAGCTGCAGAGCCAGCGGAGGCTAAAGGAAGGAAGCTGAGGCCCCGGAAAAGGACCGCGCCGCTGAGGGAGGGGAGGCGGGAGAGCCCGGGAGGGCGACGGCGGGCTGATAGCCGACAGGAGCGGGAAGCGGTGCCTGCGGGGGCAGTGAGCCTGGGCGACCCTGGCCGAAGAAGGGTGGCAGCGCCATGTTCACAACGGAGAGGATTTGAGAAGGAAGTCACAGGAACCTGACTGGTTCCTCAGAAGAATCTCCAAGGAATTTTTTTACATGAACGTTCCATAAAAGACCATTTAGAACAAATGCTGTCCCTACGTCTGTCCATAAGACACAACCATCCATGAGATACCCATGGAGATTTGTCTCCGGAAAACACCCACCACTCACTTCCCTGTAATCACTTCCGACAGGTTATTCCTTAAGCACAGCACTCAGTCAACCACCGTCTGACAAAGAACCTAATTTGTCTCAAGAAACATTTAAGACTACTATCTGCAGGATCCTATGCATGAGGATGAGGATAACCTGCTTCATTCACCTCTGCTATGTCCATGTAAGTCCCACAGTTAAACAGCTGAAGACCTCAATTAGGGGTTACCTTAAAAGGGCATGTGGCTTTTCTGTAAGTTTCTGTATTTACAACTAAAAAATGAGAAATGCAAAAAAACTGATCATTGTGCAAAAACGTGGTTTATTTAATAATATGAAGACATTTCGTTTTCCTAAGCCAGAGGAAGCAGAGTCTAAATATGCTGGAATCATGCCTCATGAGAAGAAAGGGGCTAACAGTTGGAAAACATGCAGAAATTAGGGCAGCAATATTAACCAACCACCAACTGTGATTGTGAAATAGAACAATATAAGCATGTAAGATGGAGGAGAGGGTGTGAAAAGACACAAAGGTGGTCACCAGGACAAGGATGCTCTGGGTGGCTCTGGACTCGTGGGAGGATCTGGAGGAAACTTTTGTCCCATGAATATGTTGGACCCGCTGCTTGTGCCTGTGTAGAATGAAAATCATGGAGCTACTGGACAAGATTATGAGCACAGAAAGTAAAAATTCAGGGAATATAGATAACGCCGCATACAGTGAGTCTACGATTTTGTCATGACCTATACTCAAACAGTATCCAAAATCTCTTTTCTTTGTGGTGTTTTTGTTGCTGTATGTGACAACCGCATAGGCAGGGAAAATGAAATTTACCGCTAGGTACAGGATCCAGCAGAAGGGAATGGAGTAACCAATGTGCTTTGGGGCTTTTGCTTTAAAATGCTTCCATCTGGAGTTTGCGGGGCTAATCATGATGGTCTGGAAGACACACAAGAGGCAGGTGATGCCAATGGATACTCCCCTGCCCACTCTTTCAACATACAAAATAAATTTGCATCCAAAATCATTAAAGAAATATTTCAACCCAAAAGCTGTCATTGCCTGTGGAAGTCCTTTAGAGAGAAAGACCAAGGAGTTTGCTAAAGTCAAGTGCTTGAGAATCACATTTGTGGGCTTCAGTCTGCATCCAGTGTGGGAAAGAAAGAGATAATGGTAAAGAAGAGAGAAATTGCCCAGGATTCCAACTGTAGTCTGTGATAAGAAAATTACTCCTATTGCCAAATCCTTGGAAGAAGCTCTTGTGTCGTTCAGGACATTTCGCTTTAAATTACGGCAACAATCATTCCTATGAGTAAAATACCTCAATGAGGATTTAACAAGAGTAACTGTCGTGTGCTCCTGCGGGATTACCAAAGACATCAAGATGCACATCCAGGTAGAAAGGATTGCCAGGATATCTCATGGAAGTCAGCTCTAAGAAGAAGTCAGTGTTAATCTGGAGGAAGCAATGACAAGTGACAGCAAATAGAATTAAACATAATCCAACATTTTCAGAATAAACTGATATCTCTCAGGAATAAGGATAAAAAAGAGTCAACCTTAATCACTACTCAAATCATACAAAAGATCAATGTTGAATGAATTGCTGATATAAACTTAATGGTAATTAATAAAATATTTAGAGTAACTAAAATATTTCTGTGTTCTTATAATTTTTTAAATGTGGAAACAGCACAAAACACATTTCACCATATGGGTGAAATGACAAATTAGACCATAATCAATTAAGAGCTGGCACTCATTAAAAGGCACAAACACATACCACAGATACACACAGCGGGTGGGGAAGGGAGAGGTGTAGGTAGCTTAAAGAACAGTAACAGAGTATACCATAAGAATAAAATATGGCCGGGCGCGGTGGCTCACGCCTGTAATCCCAGCACTTTGGGAGGCTGAGGCGGGTGGATCACGAGGTCAAGAGATCGAGACCCTCCTGGTCAACATGGTGAAACCCCGTCTCTACTAAAAATACAAAAAAAAAATTAGCTGGGCATGGTAGCACGTGCCTGTAATCCCAGCTACTCAGGAGGCTGAGGCAGGAGAATTGCCTGAACCCAGGAGGCGGTGGTTGCAGTGAGCTAAGATCACACCATTGCACTCCCACCTGGGTAACGAGTAAAACTCGTCACAAAAAAAAAATGAGCAACACATTCCAATAGAAACTAAACAAAAAACAGGCAATATTCACTAAACAATAAATATGGAGAAAAACTTCAATGCCTTTAGTAAAATTCAATAGCATCATGACCTGGTATCATTGTATACCAAGTGGAAATCTATATTTAAAATATCAGGAGGCCAGGCATGGTGGCTTTTGCCTGTAATCCTAGCACTTTGTGAGGCGAAGGCGGGTGAATCACCTGAGGTCCTGAGGTCAGTATTTGAGACCAGCCTGGCCAACATGGTGAAATCCTGTCTCTACTAAAAATACCAAGAATTAGCTGGGCATGGTGCTGGGCACCTGTAATCCTAGCTACTTGGAAAGCTGAGGCAGAAGAATCGCTAGATTCTGGGAGGCAGAGGTTGCAGTGAGCCAGCGTCATGCACCATTGCACTCTAGCCTGGACAACAAGAGTGAAACTCCATCTCAAATAATAATAATAATAATAAATGTCAGGAAATACCAAGTTTTGTCAAGAATGAGGATAATCCAGGAATCTCCTACACGTGGATGGGTATTAAAACTGACACAAACATTTTGGAAAACTGGTAGTACCTACTTAAGCTGAACAGTATAAACCTATCTCCCAACAATTTCACTTGTATGAATATACCCTGAAGAAATTTCTTTCTTTCTTTCTTTTTTATTTTTTGAGACGGAGTTTTGCTCTTGTTACCCAGGCTGGAGTGCAATGGTGCGATCTCGGCTCACTGCAACCTCTGCCTCCTGGGTTCAGGCAATTCTCCTGCCTCAGCCTCCTGAGTAGCTGGGATTACAGGCGGGCACCACCATGCCCAGCTAATTTTTTGTATTTTTAGTAGAGACGGGGTTTCACCATATTGACCAGGATGGTCTCGATCTCTTGACCTCGTGATCCACTCGCCTCAGCCTCCCAAAGTGCTGGGATTACAGGCTTGAGCCACTGCGCCTGGCCCAGAAATCTCTATATGTATCACCAAAGACAAATTCCAGAACTTATATCCCAGCAGCAGTCATAACAGCCTTGAACTGAAGCCCACTCACATGCTCATCAATGGTAGAATGACTCAATTAAGTGTTTGACATGCACACAATGCAATCTTATACAGCAATGAGACTGAATGCCAACAGTACATTCACAAAAATCATATGAAATGAAAACGAGGCAAATATAAAAGGAAGTACAAAACAGGCAAAGTGATTTAATCTCTTAAATTTAAAAATAGACATAAACTTCTGTCCCAAGAATTCTACTCCTACAAATACACCCAACAGAACTATGCTCCTGGGGGCACTGACTTAGAGGGGACACAAGGAACTTCAGAAGGGTGGCCATATTCTATTTTTGAATCTAGATGTTGCATACAGAGGCGTATTTTGTTTGTGATATCCCATTGAACTATACACATATAATGTGTATGCTCTTAATTTTTTAAAAAGGGAAAAACAGTTGGAAGAAGTAGCTGGGGAGAATGTTGTTCCTGTGAATATGTGCTACCTGCTGTTTGTGTCTTTATAAATTAAAACTTATGTAGCCACAGGTGCAGATCATGACCCCAACATGAAACAAAAAGAATAAGAACAATGCTGCATGTCCTGAGTTGTAGTTTTGCCATGAAGTTCGGTAGAACAGCATCCTAAACCTTTTTTTTTAAATTTCTGATGTTTATTTTTCACTTTGACAACCATCTATAGGAGAAAAAAATGATCCTTGTCAGCATTACAGGGTCCAGCAAGGAAAACAGAAAATACAGTATATTTGGGAACTTTAACTTCTACCTGTCTGGGGTTCATAGAGATTATCAAGACGGCTGGAGACACTCAAGAGGAAGGAAATTCCTGTGAACACACCCTGCCACCTCTATGAGGACAGCAAACAAATCTACATTGAAAATCTTAAAGGAAATGCTTCAGCCTAAAAGCTGCCATAGTCTTGGGGACACATGAAAAGAAAGTGACCAAAATGTGGCTATAATCATGTGCTTGATAATTAAACATATGAATCTCAGCCTGCATTCAGGGCAGTTAAAGAATTTTTAAGAGATAATGTAAAAGAGAAAATGCCCAGGATTCTAATTATACTTTGAGATATGTGTTCTGTTGCTATTGTCAGATATCTGGAAGTCATTCTGACGGTTCCCATTGCCTGATAGCATCAGAGCTAGAGGATCCTGCATGGAGATATGCAGTGTGGGTGGCACCATTCATATAAACAAAATCCCATCTTTTCACTGAGAAATAGTGGCTTACACTTCTATTTTGCTGAGTCCCTTTTTGGGACTTGAATGTGTATAGTTCAAATGGTACTTGCATTAGATGAATCGCTGCTATAATGCTATACTTATGTTACTTTCTTTGATCTCCCAAACTACGTGAGCTGGATTCTGGCAATATATTCCTTGTCAAGACATGAAGATCACAGAAACAGAGAGGCTAAGTGATCTGTCTGCTTTCTCACACTGAGTACAGGCAGAGCGGAGACATGAACCTGGCTTCGCTGGGCGCAAAGACAGTGCCCTGAGCCCTGTGCCACACTCACAACCTGTGTCAGCTGTGTTTTCAAATAACCTCAACCTATAATTTGTTTTTATGACTTGATATTTCATTTTACATTGTTGGAAGTTTACAGTAGAATTTTGGTTGTAACAAGTTTCCGCTATGGTACTAAGTTTTATTATCTAGCCCAGCATCGAAGAGGAATGACGCTTCAGAGATCCTAATAAAATACAGTGTACTCATACAACTAATGCTACATGAAACTGCTTCGTGTCCAAATAGGATTTAATGAATGCAAGACTGACTCAATATTAGTTTGGCAGTAAAAAGATTCATTTGCTGTTATTGCAAGAAAAAAATATAGTGGCACCTATCAAATAAATTATTGAACAATACTATTTTGTAACTAAATTGTGAAACATGAAACATTAATATGTGAAAAAATAGTGTAGAAGTTATTACTCATTTCAGGCTAAATGCCTGTCTATTTTAAATAGGTATTAAAAACTATTAGGAATGAGGTGAGATTACGAAAGATATAAGAATACAAGAGACTGGAGTCTGGAGAACATAAAATATTGTGCAAGTATGAATTGAAAGAACAGAAAAGTATGTCAAGAGCTTGGGATGGATGTTAAAGGAAATAACACAACATACATTTGGTTTTGACATCCACTGTCTAATGTCTAGTTATAATGTTAGCTTCTCCTTAAACGTTGCATTCCCAACTCCAAGAAGAAATGCAATCTCACCGTAATTACCAGACCACAGATGTTTCCAAAGAAATACAATTACTACATTAAGTAGATCACTAGATTTACATTAAAGTATTTTTTAATTCCAGAAGGAATTTTAGATTATGGTTTCTGCACAGAATTAGCTAAATCCAAGAGTGCTATCCTCATCTTCATTATAAGCATGAAGGCATTATAAACACACCTATAATAATAGTACTAAAAATTTAGTTTACTCTTCATGTAAGATAATATGAACGGCATATTGATTTTATTACTAAATCACGAAGCGCATTTAAAATAGGATATCAGATATCATTGTTGCTTGAATTATTCACTAATGATCATCTTTAGTGAGGGCTTTAAAAATATATATGAAGAGCCATCAGAGATTGGCATATGATCTAGGACCTTTCTCTTTTTATTCCCTCAGCTCATAGCAGATAAATTATTCTTCCTGCTTGTCTAGTCTTGCCACTGGATCTGTTTCTACCTCAGAAGAATGTATTTACCAGGCATGGTCACCTACTCATAATTCCTTTCCTTATAGACTGTAACTGAAATGAAACAGAAAATACTCACTGGACGTCTTCCCTCTGCCAGCATGTGGGCTCAGTGTGAAGGTCATGACAGCCAAGACATGCAAGAGGCAACCAGACTCTGAGATAAAGGGTTGTGATTCTGTGACCTCAGCTCCTCCCAGGACTGCAATTATCACTTTGCCTGTAGTGGCAATGACAGTGCAGGCTTGGGGAGCTGAGAACATTTCTGAAAACCTTTTTCCCACTTGCTAATTACCAAAACCAATTACAAGTTTCTTGTAAGTATCGTGTAAGAGACTGTTGAAATGTTTGGGAGCAGCTCTAACTTTTGTATGATCCCTAAAGGCACACATGGTCTCATCTGGAAGAAGCTTGAAATATTAACCTCCGATCCATGAGGGAGTTACAGAGAGGTTTGTGTGTCTCACCGGATTCCAGTCTTATCTGAGTTCCTCTACCCCAACGTCAGCTTAATTCCTAATTTATTATTTAAACTTAATTCTTAAATTTCAGATTTCTACACTGCAACATTTTTAAGGATTCAGCAGATAACCAGAATCAGACAAGCTTCCTGAGAAGAGTTTCTCTTTTTTTATTATTATTACACTTTAAGCCTGGGGGTACACGTGCAGGTTTGCTACATAGGTATACACATGCCATGGTGGTTGT